CAAGCAATAGTAATCTCTTTTAAAAATAGAAATCCTAAATGAAGCTTCTGTATGAAGATTTTTTTTCTAAATGGAACTTCTGTATGAAGCAAAAAGTTTGGAAGGCCTGGGAAACCTGGGGTTCTTCCAGCTTGCTCACAGCCCCACATGGCACCCTAGTTATTTCCAAAATATCTTTGAGGCTCCCAGAATTTCTTTGAAAACCACCAACTTAAAACATGTCCCATGCACTGTTTATTTTTCTTTAAAGCAAAACTACTTGTGAATCCATTTTACTCTTATGAAAATTTTACAAAATTTCACAAGTCTATAAAGCATGGAAGTTTTTATTCCCTCCTTGAAATCCCCTTCTTAGAGAAAACAAACCCCTTTTAAAGCTTTAAGGTATATCAACTCCAAATCTTTCTAATACTATCCCCTTATAAATATGTAATGGCACACTGTATTTTTAACAGGAATGGGGTCACATTCTGCATATTTTTCTCTACATGATTTTCCTCCTTTTACAATGACTCGTGGGTATTTTTCAGTGCTGGTACATGCAAAGTTTCCACATTCTTTTAAGAGAAAACACAATGGGTATTCTGTTCTATGGCCAGAACATAATTCAGATAATCATTTATCTACTGCCAGACACTGAGGCCATTCTCAAAATTTTGACTCTTCAAGAAGTATTTTGTGGGACATCCTTATACACATTTTTTATGCCCAGTTGCAATTATTTCCTTTAAGTAAAGTCTGAGAAATAGAAAGCACAAGGTCAAAGTAACATCTAATTTATTTTCACAGTTGATTGCTTAGATCCTGAGTCCCTGAGCCAGTTGACTTCTGATAGCTCTTCCTGTCCCTGAGAAAGCCACCAGCAGCAACTTTTGCCTCCAAAGTATGGGCACTCATCCTCCCAGACCAAGGAAAGAACATCATATAGAATTTAGATTGAGGAGAGAAAAAAAAGATCATCTTTATTTCCTTTGGTCGGTTTTTTAAAATGTGCACAGAATGTGACCCCCTCAAAAATTGTTAACTGCCATAACAACAAAGAAAGTACTGGTCGCACTAAGAGTACCAAATGTTCTACCATAACTTGTAAGGGCAGAATCCATCAGCTATCACAGGATGCGCACCTTCAAGATCAGAACCAGAACCAGACCTGGCCAGTCCCGAGAGAAAACTGTGGTCCCAGGAGATTCCCATAGGACGTCAGAGTATTTGTTGAGATTTGGTTTATTCCAGTGGAACATTTCCTCCTGAGGAGGATTTTTAGCTGGGGATCAGTGTTGCACTGGTAGCAGTCAGTTCTCAGGGGGCTGGAGAGCCATGATTTGAAACAGTGCAGCCGTCCACAGCGTAAATAAATACCCCACACCCCCACACACACTGAGGCTGATTTCAAATTTACCAACTCGATGTCACTGAACTTGGAATTAGGAAAGGATGCATATCAATCCTTGACAGTCAGTTTGAGCCAGTTGCAGCATACCACCATTTAGGGTTCATTTTTAAGTCATTATTATTATTAATGGGGGGTAAGTTCCCTTGAAAGTGTCAGAAAACATCTTTTAAGTTAGAAAGAAAGCAGAAGAATGGCTTTTTTTTCGTGTTTAATTCCTGTTTATGATATTTCACCCTTATGTTATAGTGTGAATTTCCCCAAATCTTCAAATATACTTTTAAAAATCTCACATGGGTTCCACTGGCCAAAAGTGAGAGTTTGGGCATCTGATAGACCTAGGTATGAGTCCAGGGCTGCCACTTACTAGCTGTGTGACCTCAGACAAGTCACTCGCCATCCCTGCAGATGTTTGATCACCTATCAAATGGGTCCCTGCTTCAGAAGAGTTATTATAAGGACTAACCAAGATAACGTATGGAAAGAGTTTAGTCTAAAGTCTGAGAACCCAGTGAGTGTTCACTAAAGGGGGTAGGCTTGTGATTATCAGTGCCTTTAAAATTTCAGGATAGAAGCTGGGCGTGGTGGCACACACCTGTAATCCCAGCACTAGGGAGGCTGAGGCAGGAGGAGTCCTGTGAGTTCAAGGCCAGCCTGAACTACATATCAAGATCCTGTCTTTAAAAAATAAAAAAATTCAGGGTAGAAAAGAAACTTTTGAGCAGAATTTTATCAATAGGCAAGATCCACAGTCACTGGTGTTGGACCAACAGACAGGGATAAAAGGCTACCCTAGCCAACTGAAAACTAATTGCAAAGAGAAAGAATCCAGGAAATGACCTCAACAAGGACAAACTAAATCTCCAGTTCCCCTGACTGTGCTTATTTGAGTTTCCACCATCAAGCAGTCAGCCTCTCTTGTTACTGACACATTTTGAGACTTAAATGCTGGACCCCAATACCCATACCCATACACATTTCCTGATCCTGGGTGACCTGCGGCTTCCAGAGGCTTCATTTTCATCAGGCAAAATGACAGCAATAGATCCAGCCCTTCCCCCATGGATTGTATAGCAAGGAAGTGGAGTTGGCTCAATACCTTGACATGGGCTTTCTACAGCAGCCGGATTTCACGCGTGGCAGCTAGAGTATGAAGGTAGGAGAGTGATCTGTTAGTTGCAGGAAGATCTCCTATTCAGATGGCCCAGAGGATGGCCAGGTGAGTGGGCAGATAACAGGTGGCAGGATGTCATTGTGAACTGCTCCTGAGTGGGAGCTTTACTTAGGAAAAAAAGACAGCTTCTCAACTTCCCCATTGCACCATGTGGCAATTCAAATACATTAGCATTTTCTGGCATCTTTGTTAATCCTCATAACAAGAGAGTTTATTTCCATTGACAGGATGGACCAGGTTCACAACAAAAGGAGAAACTGAGCCTATAATAATGAATGTGCTAATTCCTCTTCCTTGAGAGATAAAAGCTTCTGTTAGGCAAAGTAAGACTTGATTTTTTAAAATGAAGATCCACAGGTCTTTATCCAATCCCTTGGGGGCCAACTATGTTCCAGAATTCTTTTTTTGTTTTGGGGGGTTTTTTGGGGGGGCGGTGAGTAAGGAAGGATAGGGTATATACCATGTAGGACATCACACAGAGGGGTCTAAAGCAGCACCCCGTCAGCAAACACAATTATTTCTGCAGAAAACAAATAAGTGACTATTCATCCTAACAGCATAAAAGAGTAAATAAAGGCCTTTCAGGTCATGTTTTGTTGCCAAGTAAATTACTTAAATTGCTGTTGATTTTCAAAACGCTTTGAGTTTAGGATTAAGATAAAGGGTTGTGTGCCTGTGTCGGTATTATTCTTATTACAGACTAGATTTCCATGGACTAACTAAAAAGGAGTGGCCCTTTACCTAGAAGCAAATACTGCTGGTTCTAGTGCCACCTCCCCAACCCTCCTGCCATCTTCCTTAGTCACAGTGGGGAAAAAAAAAAAAAAAAAAACCAGGAAAAATGCCTGGCCCAAGGTGGTAGAGTTGCCAATTTACCTGCCTCCCAGAGTTCCCAAGACCCTGTGCTGTCCCCTAGAGCCTCAGGAACAACTCAGTGGTCTAAGTCTCATTGCCTCGGGCTGTCCCAGAAACACACGATTGGACTCAGTCTTAACTGGGGAAGCCAGCCAGGTGGAATACTGGCTTTTAAAAAAATTATAATAATGTATATGTTTATTGCTTGGCAATGTACAAGACACTTTCATGCACCTTAGTTCAAGGCATTTCTGGTAATAATCTGCCTATGAAGCACCTGAGATCACGTTAAAATGTAAATTCTGATTCATCAGGTCTAAGTTAGGGCCTGAGAATCTGCATTCTAGAGAACTCTCAATAAAGCTAACATTTATTGAGAGAGTCCAGGGACTCAAGGACTGGTCTGCCCCAGGCATAAGGGACCTTCCTTCCTTAGAAAAATATATAAAGCTAAAAGGCAACCACACTTGGATAAGTCAAATATGACACAAACACCTAAAGTCATCTATTATTTTATAATACAGTAGCTGCCATTTGCACATATGCTATTTCTTCATTGCAATTTACCAGTAAGGAAACTGAGGCTTGGAAAATTTGTGGAATTTGCTTCCACTTACATAGTTAGCAAAGGGTAAGTTAGAATTTGAACACAATTGGTCTGGTTGCAAAGCTTGGATGATTAACCACTCACTGAGTGTTTCTGTTGTTACAGCTAAAGCCCAAAGTCTTCAATTAATTTGATGATAATCTGGTGGCCTTCTTCAAAAAGAAAGGGACTATATCATTACAAATTAGTACATTATAACAGGGTCCCCAGGATACAAAAGAAACCCACTTACCAAGATGACATAATATATAAAACTTCATTTTCTTTTATCCAATAGTGGAAAATGCCATTCTGCACATACTGCTTTGCAGCTAAACCTTTGTATTTAACATAATACATGAGGAGGATCCCACCACTGCTGAGCCTTTCCTGAGGAGCTTTTACCACCTACAAATATATGCTTAACCTTCAAGATCAAGTTTTATGCAAGTTTTCGCTTTCAGGAAACAAGGCAGGATCATTCACAACACACATAACAGCATTTTTCATTTAAAGTGGTTTCTCCTTGTCATGTGGTCCCAACCCCCAACCAAGAAAGTCTCCTTTTCTTCCAACTCTGGTTTTCCCAGCCACTGCTGGGGTTACTTCAGTTAAAAAAAAAAAAAAAAAACGAGCACATCCTGTTCTCCAAAGCTTCCATTCTGAAGAAGGCGCCAGGGGAGAAACAGATACCAAATAGGGAATACTCAAGATAATTTATAACAGCAATAAGTGTCCTGAAGAAATTGATGGGTGACATTTTAGTGATGGGGGTAGGGACTTCGCTTCTAAACTGGATCATCAAGGAAAGACTGAGAATCTCAGATGGGAGAGAAATCTCTGATCTCCCCCACTGTCCTCTTCACACTGATTTCATTACATCCGTTTTCCACTCTTGCACTTCAGCAACAGCTCTGCGTGGAAAAGCATGGGGATGCTCAGCTTATTTTATCATCACAGAGGCGGGATGGGGCCCCTGGCCTAGGAGATCAGAGAGCTTTGACCTCTGCCCCCTTCCTGGTACAGAATCAGCCATTCTTCCTCTCAGCAATGGACACATGGTTTCATCCTGAAACCAGCCAACTGACCGCCCACCCTGAGAAGCAAATTCGAGTCTCAAATGTGAGAGTTAAGTATTTGAGAAAATTGCTCTGATTCTCATTATGACCACCAGGAACAAAATGCACTTGGTGAGCACAGTTAAAAGAGATGAGACTACTCAGAGCCCTTTTCCCTTGATTTCTGGCAAACAGAAGCCCCCAGCAATCTTTACCAAGGAGAGGTGATGGTATGAAAATGATAGCTACTTCTCCTTTCTCATGACTCGTTCCCCAGCACCAGCTCCTCCTTGAAGCAACCCTAAGATCTATGTTAGAAAAAAGCATGTTACTGATGTGATTAGCTGAACTGACCTGAGTTCTCTGTAAAAAAGCCTCCATGAACCCCCAATTCTTTTCACTGTTCCTCCGTTTTATAGACAGGGACACTGAGGCTCAGAGAGGCTAAATAACTTAACACAAAGTCACACATGTAGGGCGAAGAAGGTCAGATAGAGGACTTGAACAGCCAGTTTAACCACCAAGACAACACTTGGTTGATTCTGAGACTCTGAAAGGCTTGCCCAGACTCTCACAGACAGTAAATGAGGGGTATCAGTTAGGTAAGCTAGGCTTAGCTGCCATAGTGAACAAACCCAAATCTCAGCAGCTTAATGCCCCCAGAAGCTGGTTTCGTGCTCAGCCTACACATCCAGCACAGGACCACTCCTCATTATAGCCACATGGGGAACCAGACTGATAGAGGATCCATCTCAACCCAGGCTTCCGTCATCAACAAGGCAGAACAAACAGTCTTCAGGACTGACTCACAAAGCATCCACCCAAAGCTCCCCATGTCACTTGCACTTGTGTATTTTTGAACAAAGCAAGTCACAGAGCTACACCTGACTCCAGGGAACAGGAAAGACGTGGGAGGACTATTTGGTGAATGCCACTAACGATTTCCCCACCTGGCCCGGGGGGAAGGAACACCAGCTTCCTCTGCCTTTCACCATGAGGTATGTGGTGGACAACGCACCTTGGGAGGTTTTATTTTTTTTCCTCCCTCTATTGATCTACCTTTTGGTTTGTTTGCTACTGAAAATGAAACATCAGAGAGTCTGATTCTGTGTAACTAGGGCTTTTCTTTATCAGTGTCTTTGCCAGCGCCAGGGCTCAGGGCTTTTGAAGGTCTGTGGGATTCATAAAGCATTTGCAGCTTATTTAGCCTGCTCTTGAAGTTGCAATCGATTTCAGGTCATCATGGAAGTCAGCATTAGTGGAAAAATTCCATCTTTCCCAATTGGGCCTGAATATTTAAGATTTTGAAAGCTTGGCTGGGACCAGATTTAATTTTAAAGGGGGAAAGGGGTTGCTTTTGAACTTCAAGAAGAAGGCTGGCAGCTCAGCAGGGGCCGCCTTAGCAAAGTGAAAAGCAAAAAGCCCTGTGGTTTTAAAAGAAACTGCTCCAGCGCCGAAATGCTAAAGCTTCCAGTTGGTGAGCCTTAAATCAGACTTCAAAAGCGCTGCTAGTTTAAATATTGTTTATAGGACTGAAGTACTGCTCCTTCTTCCTCTGGCTGGATTTTAAATATTCCCTAATTTGATTACTCAGGGGCGAGAAAAGCAGACCCCACTTAAATGAGCTTCCCAGTTAATTATTCAGAGGGCTTTTTATTGTGTAATCAAACATAAAGTCTTACAAAAAGCTTGGAGACATATTCTCACCCCACCTGCCTCAGCCCAACTTCCACCTTGGGGTCTGTGTGTTTCTTGTGCCCTGGCTGTGAGCCAGTAGATGTTCAGCAAGGTCCTGCTTGTGAGGAAATCACACCCCTCTCCTCATGTGGGCTCGTAAAAGCCTATGGTTCTGCCCCTCCATCCCCCGCGCCATGAGAAGCCAGCCATAATTTAGGTTTATCTTGATCACATTTTGCCTCTTATATTTAAGCACTTTCACCTCCCAACCAGCAATCAGCAGATCCTGACAGATCTAGACCTCTCTGAGTGATCAAAATTGGTCTGTTCATCTTCTCATTTCAAGTCCCCACGCTGTACTAGGTGAGAGCCAGTTAAATGATTGAAAAGATCCAAGCCACCTGAAAAGCCTTTCTGCAGAGAAAAAGAGGGTAAAAAACAGATGAATGGAGGATGGATGGTTGGATGGATGGATGGATCAATCAATCAATCAACAGAAAGATCACACACTGAGACTCTTCACTTGCTTCTCATGGAGAGCCACCTCCCCCCCAAAGCCACAAGTCCAAAGTCTAACAGCTCTGAAAACTTAGATTTTCATAACTTATTTGACAGCAAAAATAGGACATGAACCAGACTGATTTGGTGGCAAAATCTTACTTGAAACTACTTAAAGTCTTTATCTCACTGAATGTAAATATTCCTGTATTTTATCACAGAAATATTACTGCTTGATTTTAAGATGTTTCCTTGGGCCCTATTGGAGGGCTTATGGTAATGTATGGCATATACAGCATATTTTCTTTCTGAAATACCAAAATCATGAATTTGACAGTATGTGTGGTGCCATAGGTTTCGGGTGAAGGGTTACAGGCTTGTGACCAACAGAGGCTGCTGGGATTTTGGTTTCCCATCCAGAAAGTTCCCAGCCCATGAGAGTAGGACCCAGGTTTTGCAGGGTCTAAGATTATTTAACTGGTGAGGAAGACATTTTTTTTTATTCTTTCATTGGTACATTTTAGAAATACTATACGTTTACATTTATCATTGGGTGCTTGTACTGGTACATGATGTATCTTGGTTCTTATTTTTCCCCTATTACCTGTGCGCCCTTCACCCTCTCCACCCTGAGGAAGACATTTTTTAAAAAACACAAGATTACAAGATGAAATTATTGCCAAGATTCTGAGGCAGGGGCCCACATAGGAAGGGGGCCTGAAGCTTTAACTCCACTTGTTTTATTATAAATCTGCATGTGGCTGAGTGTCTTGAGCCTCCAAGTTTGTTTCCTACTCTGTAAAATGAGCTGATGATGACTATGTCACAAAGTTGTCAAGTCTGAGATGGTTTGATGAGAACCAACACAGAGAAGTGTGGCTCATAACATCCCAGAGAACTTTAGCTCAACAAACCTCAAACCAGTGATTTTTTCCTTGTCCAGCCCACCCCATGGGCCCCACCCAATTCCACCCAGAACACTCACTCCGAGTCCCTGATAGAGGGACCTCAGTCAATGGAAAAGGCAGAGATTTAGAAACAAACACACTTTTCAGTTCACTCCCAGGAGTAGCCTTACACTCGCCCTGGAGCACATAAGAGAACCTGAGGGACCGGGATGTAGCTCAGCGGGGCAGGGCCTGCCTGGCAACTACAAGGTCCTGAGTTCAGTTCCTGGTACTAGGAGAGAGAGAAAGAGAGAGAGAGAGAGAGAGAGAGAGAGAGAGAGAGAGAGAGAGAGAGCGCCTGAGTCCAAAGTGCAAATAGATGTAGGGCACATATAAATATATCCCACCTCCCTCACTCAGTAAGCAATGGTCTCTACTGTCCGGACGGGGCTCACAACAGACACCAACCACCATTCATCTTCTACTTATTGCATTTTTTAAAAACAAAACCTTATAATAAACAGAGGCTCTGCAAATGGAAAACTCATTAAGCTGTTTCTCACTCAGGGACCCAGGTGGAAGCAAGAGCTCAATAAAAAAAGTCAATAAGGACAAGTCCAGGGAACAGAGGTGGGAGCACTTCATCACAGCATCCAAGGTAACCAGCGCCACAGGGCTCTGCCATTTGGCAACCTAGCCCCAGCCTGGGTCCGGGACCGCTGTTGCCAATCTCTTCTCTGCTGGGAAATTTTTTTTCCTTCTGGTTGGTTTTCTGAGTGAAGAGAAGTCGGAGCACATGCTGTTGGACGGTTTTTGTAAATTTTAATTAAAATGGTTATCTGGGGATTATAGGAAAAGTGACATTTGGCTGGACGCTACTTGATAGAGCAGGGAGGGGGTGCTGAGCAGCTGCTTAATAAGATGTCACCAGAAGGAAATGGACTCACCTCACTCTATCTGCTAAATCAATAAGTCCTCTCTCTCTCTCCTCTCTCTCTCTCTCTCTCCCTCCCCCCCCTTCTTTCCCCCTCAGTGAGAAAATAAAAGTGAGTGACTTGACAGGCAAGATTTTCTATAAATGAAAACATGTGTTCACTATTGAGAAGATATTACATGGTGTATTCTTTTCAACCCAAAGCTATTCCTTAACCCCAGACCTCCCAGTTCATCAGCTCAACAAACAAGTGCACTCAGAGTAATAAGAGCAACACCCAACTGCACAACTGGAATGTTTGCTGAGCCTGTCCCTGACCCACAAAATAGATGCAGTACCTGTCTCTCCCTACTTCGTGTTAGTGAAAAACCCAGAGAAATGACAGGCAGGCTCATTTTGAAAATGTGAAAATGGGGAGCCTCGTTGTGCTTCTGTGATATTTTTAGAGGCCACTTCTCAGTGTGCTTACAAATGGACCTGGTTCTGTGTTAAGGAAGCTTTTTTGGTGTATTACCCAATTCTGCCTTCCTGATGACCCCACGGGGCACTGTTCTTATCCTCTGGTGGGAAGGGAAGAAGCTGGATCTCAGAGAGGTTAAGTGACTTGCATAAGGTCCCTTGGCTGGGTTGTGGTAGAGCCAGGAGCTCATCTTGGGTCTATTTATTAATCACCAGGCTCTTCGAATGCCTGTTCTCCACATGATTATCATTGCCCCTCACAATGAGCTTCACCGTTTTCTCGTTTTTTCGTCAGGATGCTCCTAGACCTGAGATGTAAGAATCTTTGTTTTATCATGAGAGTTGCTATGGAGATATTGTGTGGATCCATCTCCAGAGATGCACATACAAAGCAGCAGGAGCCACAAACCTTAACAAATGTCTTTCAGGAATATTCATGACTAAAATCGGAGGAAGGGAGAATGAATTGCTGGAGTTGCGCTCTTACGAACTTAAATATCCCAGCAAATGTATAAATCAAACCCCGGCCTGCAGTGTGAATTAGGGTGTGGGAGCCCAGGGTTTATCATTTTCAAGAAAAAAACAATAACTTGGAGTTCGATGTTAAAAACCTCCTAATTTGTAAAACCCTGGGTAAACATGTCTCCCCATGGGCCATAGTTTGCAACCCCTGCTTCTTAGAAAGTTCAAGGAACTATCCAGGAAAATTTTTTTCCTCTGCTACTAAAAAATCAGTCCCTACTGAAGTGGAACACAGCAGCTGGTTAACATTGCTCCTGAGTGAAATATTAAAAAATTAGAGAAGCATTTGAGGATTTAAGTCAATTCAGGGAAAGTGGTTCAATAAAGGGCAAGCAAGATGCTAGAAACTGCCTGTCACATCTTCCCCCTGCATTTTATTTTTTCTGCCACTCTCAATTAATCAGAAGTGTCAGCCCTTCACTTTGGATTTCCTGCCTGCAGTGGTTAATTGAATTTTAATTAATGGCAACCTCAGGAGCATGAGATGAAATCCTAGCTCGAGGAAGATGCACACAGAACCATAGATGTGGAAGGCTTTCCTGAGATCATGTCGGCCCATCCCTTTCATCTTATGAATGAGGAAACTGAGGCAGGGAAGTCTGATTTGCCCAGGGTCCCTTAGCTCTGAGTCCAGGGCTCCCAGGAAGACTTCAGGCTGCCCTTGTGACACAATCTGTCCAGCCTTCAATGATAACATTGTTCTGAAGAGTCTGGTTTCCAGCATCAGGAATTCATGTTGTGTTAGACGAATCAGGAGGAGATGACCTGACATCACCCCTCCCCAGGGAAGCAGGGAGTCAAGGGGCTTGCTGTCAGTCCATCAAGCTCTTGGCTAGGTACAAAGCCAGGACAGAGGGAGCCTCATACAGAACACCTAATCTGTCAAAGGAGAGAACATGCTAACCCAGTATTTGCTTTTTCTGTCATTGCAGTCACATGTGCCCTTGGAGAGGTCACTAAAACCTATTCAAACCCCAATTCTCCAAGAATTCTGAAGCATTCTTCCATTTGTGTAGAACTTTGCTAGAGATTTAGAGGAGAGTGAACCAAACACAGAAAGAGATCACATCTTCAGTCCTATAAGCTTCTTCCCTCTCTTTCTGTCTCCCTCTTCCCAGCCTGCTTTAAATTCTTTCTCTGGAGCAGCCAAGGCCTAGTAATCAGCGTTGGCATTAACCTCACTTCTGTTTGGATCTTGGCTCTTCTCCTTGCCTGTGAGTAGCAAGTGAAGAAGCCTGGGAAAGTGAAGAAGCTCCTCAGAAACTTGGCTCCTGAGTTTAAAGAGGACATTACCTCAGTCAGTACATTCTGAAGTGACACAAATCATGAGCATGCAGGAATACACACATACCGATCGGTGACCAGTACTCTCTGACCCCTTCCCTCCCCCAAATCCACATTCCCCTCACAGGACTTTCCCCACCGATCCCTATCCCTTCTAGGACTTGTCCTTTGGTCTGTCCACCCACTACAATAATGGCTCCTGCCCCCAAGAATGCCACCCCTCCAGAGAAATCTGCTTCCCCCTGCTCCACTTCCCAAACATCAGGTGAGGAATTGTCTCTATATTGTGTTCCTTTAAGAACAACAAATACAAATCATCATCCTTGAGGTCCAGGCATCAACTTGATGAGGAAGAACCTGGTACATATAATTCAGGGTCAAAAGCACGATGTAGCTAAATATATTCATCCCATCTTCTTCTACAGTTTAAAAGTCATCACAGTAGTTATTACAAAAGAAAAGTCTAAACCAGTTCTAGATATACACATTGGACTTCCTGAGCTGACAATCTGAGTACTCATTTGGTATAATAAATCCTGTCATATTTGCTTCAAGTTATATACTTTTTTTTTTTGTACTGGGGATCAAACTCAGGACCTTGCACTTGCGAGGCAGGCAGTGGCATCACTGACCTAAATCCCCAGCCCATACACATTTTTAAATTATCTCACATAGTGACAAAAGTTCACTCCAGATCCACAGTATGTTGCATGGTATTTGGAAGGATCCAGAAAGAATTCACACCTAGAGCCCGGTTTTCCCACTTTTTCTTTCCTTCCTCCCTTCCTTCCTCCCTTCCTTCCTTATTTTTTCCTCCCTTTCTTCTTTCCATTCTCTCTCTTTCTCCCCTCTTCCCTTCTACCTTCCTTTCCCTCCCTCCCTCCGCACCTCCCACCTTCCCTGTCTCCTTTCTTCTCCTCCATCCTTTTTTCATTTCTGAAATCCCTCCTTCTATCTTTCCTTTAGACCATGAAATTCAAACTTCCTGTGATTCGAAACACCATCCACAAGCCAAGCTGGCGAGGCTCCACACTCAGTCTGTCTCGGACCAGCGGGGGGTCCTCCCCCCAGAGCAGCATGATCTCTGTGAATCCTGGCTCAGAGGAGCCCCAGAGCTTGATCACCCAGGAGACCAGCAGCAAAGACATTGAGGATAACGAGTCCTCTTCGACCAAGCTGGATGAAGAGCCTCTTCATGTCTGTAAGTCCTACCTGAGAGGTGCCTTTCCGCCTGGACGTCTTTACTGGCTGTTCCTGCCCCACCTCCACCCCCACTCAGAGAATGGAGACACAGAGGTCCCTAGCCCCATCCAATCTTCTTGGATCCCTTTCTTCTTCTCCAGCAGAGATCAGAAATGCATTCTATAATTCGAATTACACCGAGCCCTTCCTCCTAGGGAAGCACTCCACGGCCACTTGTTGACCTTTTTGAATTGGAAAACTATATTTTATTTGCCCCCAATTTATTTAGAATACTGTCATTTCAATGTGTAATCAATATAAAATTTAGTGAGACAGTTTATATCATTTTTTTCACCCTGAGTCTTTCAAATTCAGTATCTACTTTTAAGCAGCTATGTTGAGGTGTTATCTACATACCATAAAATTCACTCATTTTAAATGTATAATTTGCTGATTTCAGTAAGTTTACAAAACTGTATATCCATCACCACAATCTGATTTTAGAACATTTTCATCAATCTAAAAGAAAACATCATATCCATTAGCAGTTTCTCTCCCTCTCCAGCCAGAGTCTCCAAGCAGCCACAAATCTACTTTCTGTCTCTACAGATTTGTCTTTTCTAAACAGAGACTCGCTTGTCTTTTCTATGATCCCTCACCCCAACACAAGCCTTTTCGATAACCCACAGTGTGGGAGACACCAACCTTTTGGAACATCCATTGAACGTTATGGGCCCTTGCTCAAGAAGAAAATTCATGCATGTGCATGCATGCCATTTGTCATACAGTTGGAGCTGGGAAGACTGTAGCCCTCAGTCAGGTAGACTTGTGATTGGATTCTATATGTGATATAAAGAATTCATTCTTGGGCCAGGGATTTAGCTCAGTGGTTCCAGTGCCTACCTCACAAGCGCAAGGTCCTGAGTTCGATCCCCGGTACCTCCCCCAAAAAAAGAATTCATTCTCAAAACTTTCTGGCTTGAGATGGTAGAGCAAAAAGAATAGGAAAAGAAAGAGGAGGACTCATACAAAAAGATAGGGAAGGGAGAGAGAGAGAGAAAGGCTGGCACCTGAAGAAGTCTGCAAAATTATTGACTCTGGTACCCAGAATATCTTCTTCCCATGTCCCCATCTGTCTCTCCCCTTGGTGACATCCAAGCCAAGGCCTGCCTACTTGGCCAGCATTCTTTGGCACTACCTTCAATGTGTCTAGCAACCATGGCTGGGCAGAGATAACAAGGACTGGATGTAGCATAGATCCAAGGAGGATGGTAAGGAGGTCAAAATAGACCAAGAGTGTGCATAAGACCCTGGTAGTCAGACGTGGGCAGAAATGCAATCATCCAGGAAGTGGCTAAGACTCAGAGTAGCAACTGCAATAAGAAAACCTCACCACCTCGCCTTGTCAACAGGAGATGAGAAAGGTCCTCAAGGCCTGAAAAGCTGTTCTCTGAACACAAATATTATGTGAGATAAAGAGGACCTAAGTTCATCCATCCGCAGATATGTGATTCTTCCTGATTTCTTAAATATGGATTTCCTTCAGTACCTGTTTGTGGAGCCCCTATGTGAAAGGAACTGAAGTATAGTACATTTTAGAAGAAAGAGGAAGACTAGACAAGAAAACCAGAAGTAGCAATGCAATTGTAGATGCTGAAGAGAAACTGCGGATCGAAGTGGGGATGATTTATTCAGGATGCCAAGGAAAGCCTCCCTCGCTCTAACCTTGAAGCTCAGACCTGAAGACTTGAAGCTGAGGAGGGGAGTAGGTCCAGAGCATAGCAACTTCCTAGTCTCCCTGCCTCTTCTGCCTCCACTCACTGATGAGCCACAGAGAACTTTCTAGTTAGACGTCAGATCTAGTACTGCCGATCTTAACATTTATCAATGACTCCTCATTGCTTCTGACCTTCTCCCAGGCTTCCTGTAATTGGCTCAGATTTTCCCACTCCATACTTTGGACAGGGTAGTCCAACCTTACCACAGTACTTTCCTCTTCTTAAACAAACCATGTTCTTACATAATTTACTCTATTTGAAATTCTCTTTCATCCTGACTCTTCAGTCTGGTGGGTGTTTACTCAACCTTCAAGACCCAGCTCAAATGCTTCCTCCTCTCAAAAGCCTTCCCTGACTCCCCTAGGATTCCCATTTTTCAAGTCTCTTAGTATTTTGTATTGGTTCTTATTGAGTATTTAATTTACAACTTCATCTCACTATGTCAGGTAGGAACTTCTTTCGGCTAATACAGAGATCTGAAAAATAGTGACTTAAAAGAGATAAAAATTTATTTTTAAAAGTGAATCCAGAGGTTGTAAAATGAATCCAAATGATCATCATGGATCCCATTTTCTTCTATTTACTCTGCCATCCTCAGTAGGACACATGATCCAATATGGCTGCCACATTTTAGGTTTAAAACAGAAAGAAAGTACACAAAATATAAAAGTGCCCACGCAGATGGCATGGTGGTGTATGTCTGTAATCCCAGCACTCTGGGAGGCTGAGAGAAGAGGATAGCAAGTTCCAGCCCAGCCTGAGTAACTTAGTATCTAGGAAGAATTTTAAATTTTTTTTTAATTTTAAAAAAAATCTCAGTGTAAACACCCTGAGTTCAATTCCTAATATTGAAAAAAAAAAAGTGCCCACACCCAGCTGTATTCAAGCAACATTCTCAGAAGCTTCATACTGCCTTTCTACTAAAATCTCATCATTCAGAAACTTAATCACCAATTCATGTCCAACTGCAAAGGATGCTGGGGAAATTAGCTAGTAAATCTTTCTCTTTCACCACAAAGAAAGAATCATAGTTCTGCTGCTAAGGAAAAGGGGAGAAAGGAATGTGAGATCCATCCAGGCATGGATGTCTTACCTTCAGCCTAGTACAAAATAATGGCTAAGAAATGCATTTCCATCAGAGATCTACTTCTAGAGAGGAAGTCCTTCTACTTTAGTCCCCTCTTCCTCCATGTATACATTAACTTCCATCCTATTTGTCAGAGCCTTGACAAAAGTAGATTAATTTCCCAGGCTCTCATTGCCTTCTAAAACTTCCTCAAATTGATTCTGAATTCATGAATCCTATTCTGAGAGCTGCCCCATTTGACTGAGGTCTAATTTCCAGGGTGAGCTGCATAATTAAGTCTTTGTAGGTGCAAATCACTGGAGACAGCAGGTTGTGACCTCTCCGTGAACAGATACCATTCCAAATTAATGGCAGGAGAATTCCCAAGAAGCTAACACTCATGTCATTTCTTCTACCAGTCTTGGAACTATTACAGGAGAAAAATCACTTAAATAGGAACTCAAAAATGTGGCCCCTATACCATACAACATTTTTCCTTAAACCAACCCATAAAACAAAAAGACCTCTCTTATTTCCCCCCACACACACAAAGAAGAAAAAATGAATTTAAGTCATTTGAAGTTTGAATTCTTAGACAAACTGAGGTTGGAAGATGGAGGAAGGAAGTCAGAATTTCTTTTCTCTGATGACATGACTTGGCATTTGAGAATCTGGGGTGCCATTTTCTCTGAGTTATGGGTCATAGCATTCCACAGCCTTGGGAACTGAGAACCGAGCAGGTCCCTCTATGTGTGAGCATCCATCATGAGGCTACCTTCATCAGGGAAACTCTACACTGTAGCATTTGCAGCCTTTCCAAACAAGTCCATTCTCCCAGGGAACCTTGAGAAGTTCCAAGACCTTGTTCTTTTTTTTTTTCAAGACCTTGTTCTATTTCACATATGTCTAAGCTCAGATACATGAGGGGTAATATTTTATATTGGTACCATTCCTCCTCAGAGGCATGTAGCCAGCAGAAAAATAATCTGTGGTTCACTGAGCACAGAGCTTTACATGTAATCCCTAGGAGGGTTGCCCAGTGTGCCAAGCCACTGGGGTCATTTGCTGTATCCACCCACACCTTGTCTGGTTTGCTTATGGATAGGATAGAAGGAAGGGGAGCATTGTCCATTGCTGCTGCTTGGTTCCCAAGAGAAAAGAGAAAGAAGAGGAACCAGCAATCACTTGCTCACTAATAGCCTTCTATCACACCCCAAGGATTCTGGCATGTGTGATGAGAGTGTATGTGGGCATGACAAGACTGAAATGAAAGTTAGATTCAGGCAAAATGAAACCATGCCCACAAATTGAAGATAGAGTGGAAAATGGTCAAATCTTAATATTTATTGCAGCCTAGAAGGCTCCAAAGCTACTGAGAAGTGACTTTCTTTCCCTAGCCCTCAGTTATTGCATTCATATACAAGGCTGGACACAAATGGTCTTGGGTACTTCCAGGCTGCAGGCCTCCCTTCCAGGTATGACTTTTAACATCTGAGCATGTGTTGCCTACAGGCACCCAGAAAAGGGTGGAAAGTGTCTGCACTAGCATTACCCTCTTTCATGGATACCTAGATCTAGTTCAGGGTCCCCCAGATCCCTAGTTTTTTCTCCTTAGTGTTCACTTATCCATTCTGCATCTATGGACTGAGATTCCATGTGCCAAGAATTCCGCCAGTGCTACCAATAGAAAAACAACTAAAATGTGTCCTCTGACCTCAAGGAACTCACAGGCTAAAAAGGGAGACCCACATTTGAACCAGAAATTGCCATCCCATGATATCAGTGCTGTGAGGGAGGTCAGAACAGTGTACTTCAGGAGTCCAGAGGTAGACCTATTGCCAGGTATGGTGAGTGGAGAAGGAAGAGAATATGCTTTCAGAATTCCAGGGAAGGGAGGAAAATGTGAAAGGTCTAGCAAAAGTTTACAAACCCAACATCAGCCCCTCTACTCTCTCTTCTGAGATAGTACAAACACCACCAGTATTTTCTATCAAGAGAAAAAATGAAAATCAAAAATCATTTTTACTCTAGCCATGTGGCATGGAGCTAGCCATATAACATGTTTGCTCAGGCCTGGGATTTAGCTCAGTGGTTTCGCCACCTGCTGCGCAAGTGCAAGGACCTGAGTTCGATCCCCGGTACCAAAAAATAAAAATAATTTAAAAAACATATGTGCTCATTTAGTGATGCAAACAGGTTGCATTGGTGGGAGTACATGTTGAAGACTCTCCCTTCAGTTGCATAAATTCCATTCATTGCCAGTGTAGGATTTTTCTTGGTTCCTGGAATTTTTTGAAAATTATCTCAAAAGTCCCCCTTTTTATTTCCTGGGAAGCCTCTGATCTTCCAATGGCTGTCTGCATGTGTACCTCCTCCTGTTCTCATTCCAAGCCTCTTCTGTCTCTTGTTTGTAAATCTGAGGGAAAATTCTGGTGAAGACATTCGCTGAGTCACAACCTCGCACTGCAGCATTTCAGCACCGAGGACAGCTTCCATCTGGGAGAAATGGAAGTTCTGGATTTCATGGCTTTCTACCAATCAAATTCCAATTTAGAGAGTAGAAATAAGTGAGGGGGCTAGAGATTTGCACATATGTATCCACAGAAGACATGACTGTTCACTTCCAATTTCCCATTTTCTTTTAAAAAATAGTTTATATTTCAATTTTTGAGAGTGTTGGTGTATTAATTTCTTTATAAAATGCCACAATCCAAGTTGACTTGAAGCAACAGAAGCTTATTGCCTCAAATTTATGGATGCTGTACATCCAAAATCAAGGTACCAGCAAGACTATGCTTTATCTGGAATTTTTAAAGGAGAAGCCTCCCTTGACTGTTCTAGTTTCCAGTACTTAGTGGCAATCTATGGTTTCTAGATATATCACTCCAATCTCTGCCTCTGACATCACATGGTCCTCTTTTCCCTGTGTGTGTTTCTCTCTCGTATTATTAGGACACCAGTCATACTGTATCAGGGCCTATTGCACTCTGGTATGACTTCATCTTGACTCATTGTATCCACATTGGCTCTATTTCCAAATAAGATCACATTCTGAGTTACTAGAAACTAGGTCTTCAGTATATCTTTTGGGAGACATGATTCAACCCGTAACAACTAATTCTGAAGAAGTATTTCTATGCTGTTTAAAAACCAATACTATTAAGTATGAAAATAAAAGGCAACTAAGAGAAGCGGTGGGAGCCATGGGGAGCTGGAGAGCACACATGTATCTAAAGGTTTCAATCAAAGTGAAACTGTCATTATTTGCTGATGATATGATACTTTACATAGAAGACCCAAAAAACTCAGTCAAAAGCCTTCTAGACCTAATTGACAGATTCAGTAGAGTAGCTGGATATAAGGTCAACACTCAAAAGACAATAGCCTTCTTATATGCAAATAGCAGACCTATTGAGAAAGAAATTCGGGAAATAATTCCTTTTACAATAGCATCTAAAAAATGAAATATCTAGGAATCAACCTAACAAAGGAAGCAAAAGATCTCTACACTGAAAACTACAGCACTCTGAAGAAGGAGATCGAAGAGGATAT